GTGTGTGTGTGTGTGTGTGTGTGTGTGTGTGTGTGTGTGTGTATGTGTAAAGTTTGGTCTTCTCAAATCTCAAGTACAAAACAAATATATAAATAAGTCTCCATGGTGCATATTCTGTCTGCCCAGAGCTTCCTCACCCCGAGCTGAAAGCCAGCAACCTATATCCAACATCTCCCTGCTCTCATCCTGCAGAACTTCTGCTCTCTGTGTCTGTGGGCCCAACTAGAGTCCACTAAGTCTCACAGCATGTCTTTCTGCATCCAATTCCTTTCCCTTACTTACTGCAATGACACATCCTCGGAACTCATTTCCTGTCTGTGACACTGGGGCTTACTAGCAGGGGAAAAGCCAAAACAAGCAGTGATGTGATCACTTAGAACAAAGAGGAACTAGCATTACCAAATGATGACCAGATGACAAGGCCACATAGGTAAGACTGTGGAAAGAGGGACGTTTTCTTTCAAATACACATACCCATACCTTAGAAAAGTCTCAAGTCACTGAAGTTTTCAACAGTGAAGATGTTTAAATGAACAATAACATGTTCTGTCAAATAGTTACAGAAAATAAGACACAGCATAAAATGTAAGAAGCTGAGAATTGATGCTGCTTGGTTATACTCAATTCTGAGTAGTCTTTGGAACTGTGAGTACCACGCTCACAAACCTCAGAGAAGTGGGGCATACATTCACTTCAGCTCTTTTGCATCATCTGACTTGTGGCTAAACCTTTGTTACAAAGAAACTGATTAAACCAGAGAGCAGTGATAGAGACACTTTTACGATAAATTCCCGACCTCTGGACAGAACCACGGAAGACAGGTCTTACACACTCATCATCTATGGGAAAAGCAGAAGACTGAAAACACAATTCCAGATTAACAGGACCGTCTCAGATCTCCAGGGACACACCACCTTCCTGTACAACTTTTCCACCTGACAGTTTCTTTGCCTAATCCCTGTACATTACAGTATTTTCTTCCCCTTTAGGGAGAGGATAGAGTTGGGACAGGGTTTCTGTTATGTAGCCCTCATTGTCTGGAACTCACTCTACAGACTAGGCTCCAACTCAAGAGTTCTGCCTACCTCTGCCTCCTAAATGCTAGGCTGAAAGGAGTATGCCACCATAACCTGGCTCGATGTTTTTTTAAGTGGAGGACAGTATTTCTTAATCTCTAATAAATTGCTTAATAAAAACTAAGACTTGCTTCTTAGAAAACACCAGTTCCTCAGGGATTACCCTTTTACTTAATCTCCCTTTAGGGTTTTAATTTGCAGATACATTATGTCAAGTCATAGAAAACCTATTATTTTCCATGCTAAACACTGAGAGAAACTACAAAGCTGTACTATGTGAAGAAAACGTGTTACCATTTAACATAAGCAGATTTGGAGGATGCTGCCTTCCTGGATTTAAACACTGGAGCTATTCCCTGCAGCAAAAGATATGCTAAAATCACATTTCCTACTCCACAGAAAAACTAGTTAATTGTAAAATGGCAATAAATTCATTAATCTGAAGAGAACTTCTTTTTAAAAGCACTAATGGAAGCATCCATACAATCAATTACCTACAACACAGAATAGAACAGCTAAAAGGCCTGGCATGTGCTACAGCATCAATCTTGTCCTTTGCAGCATCTGCTAACAGGTGCAGGTTTTGATGACTAGGCCAGATCTCAGGGGTAAATAAATCTGTAACAGTTTCTCATTTGTGACACACTCTTCCTGGCAGACAAACTTATTTAAACACACAAAAATACACATCTAAAAATAGTATGTTTTGCCAACAATTAACATCACAATGTCCTGTTACAGGAAATGTATCTTAAGACTGCTTCAAATACTGCAGGGTAACTGTTCCCACTAACATATTAAAGTTAACGAAGACAGAATCAAGGTTCCCAACTGCACATTCACAATTGTAAACATTGTATCAGAAGGCACAGTGTTACAATGAGCTTGGCAACCTAAACATTTAGGTGCCTGATTAATAGTCTATTTTGTAGTATTATTTCTGTATCAGGATTTATATACCTTGGTAAACTTCTTATCTGAATGGTATAATATGTAAATAATAGCCATTGCATTGTTTGTTTCATGATAAATACTCACAAACCATCTCCACAATCCATTCTTTGTGAAAAAAAACCATCAATACTGGGCTCCAAAAACTGAATAGCAATAGACAAGTTCGTAATACATAGCCTACAGTTTTCACATTTGTAAGCAAATAATTTGTAAAACCATTATTGAGAAGCAGATACATCTAGTATTTCATGTCTTAATATCCTGAATAATAGTTGCAAGATCTCACAAGACCTCTAGGAAAATAAGATCTATA